GGGCAAGGAATGGCTGTCAAAATTTCCCACTATATTCCTAAGATAACAAGGCACACATATGTTTTCCAATGTGAACATACAGTCTATTAGAGGTGTGCAAATCAGATCGGATTTGTTCGGATTTCGGAACCAAAATATTCGGATCGGATTGATAAAGTTGTTTCGTAGTTGGATCGGATCGGACTTCGATATCCGAAATAAAATGAATTATTATATATCAATAGTCAAAGTCGCATTTTTCTAGTGTTTTATTGGTTGAGAGCATATCACGTGAGAGTGACGAAATTAGGCTGTCTCCCTTGCAATAGCGCGAGAGGGAGATAATACGTTATAGACCGGCGAATAACAAAAAAAATCATGTGCGCCATCACGTGAAGATGCGACCTTTGGACATGCCTAGTACGTAATTAAAACTTTCGCTTTAAGTAACTGCAGTGTAGCCAGTGTTTAATATAACGTTTTAACAATAAAATATTTCATGTATTTACGTCCATTTGTTCTTTAATTTGTTGTTTCTTTGACTATTGATATATAATAAAACACTTATTTACTGAGACCTCGGGAAAGCAGTGTGTTTTGTGGACCCTCGACCGTCGATGTTTCCCTCGGCTTCGCCTCGGGAAACATCGACGGTCTCGTGTCCACAAAACACACTGTTTCCCTCGGTCTCAGTAAATAAGTGATAAATATCTTGCGAAGGAAGCAAGTTACCAAAATTCTATAAAAGAAGTTATTAAGTCATTTTAAGCGATCTTTACAATACAACCATAAACATTTGGGGGTGAAATTTCGTGTCATAGGCACTTTAATATAATGCCTCATAGAAACTCAAAAAGGATCGTGTACTGATTTATACTATCTTGTATATCCCCGAGCGTTCTCACGCGCTCCAGGGCGCCCCCGGGCGCTCCTTGCAGTATTTAGTAGGACCCAATTCAGATGTTGATCAAATCATGCGTAAATTACTATTTTAGTCTCAGTTTTTTTTCGAGAAAAAAAAAACACTTAGAGAAATACGTAAACTTGTTTCTAGCTTATCAACAATCCCATGCAAAGTAACACTAAACATAAATTTTTAATAATTTGAAAAAATGTCGTGGAAACTGCCAAAATTGGCAAAGTGGGTCCATGTAAAATAGTGCCAAATACAAACTTGCATAAAAATACCTAGTCCTGTATCTGAAGATGGTTCACCACGACTTGCACGAAAATTCTGAACATTCTGAAAAGTTACAATTAAATTCACTCTTGTTAGCAGACAAGAATCATGTATAAATTGCTACAAGCTTCGGAAAGAATATAAATTTAAAGATAAATGTCATAATTTTCAAGAAAATGTCCGTATTACCATGCGAAGATTTCTCGGAACAGAATAATTCTTTGTAAGTGAATGCCACATTTCACTATTTTTAACCGCATACTTGAGAAATTCTTTGCCATAGTCTTTCCCACTACCAACGTTCTCCAGTAACCCATCATTTTCTAATTGCACCATTATTTTTAAGAAATTGTCTCTCCTACTCTTCAAATCTCTCTTTAATGTTTTGCCTTTTTCTTTATAGATATAGTCACAGTAAATAGAGCTAATCTTATCAATATCATTAAAACGTAGAATGGAACGATCCTCTTTTAATTTAACCAAATGCCGAGCTTCAACATGCTTTGCAAGATGACCACAAACAAAGCTGGGGAAAAAGCTATTCGACTTTGCTTTTGGACCCGAGCCTATAAAACAAAAAAGTGATTTGCAAATTACACTGTACATAATTGAGAATTGCACTGAATTTGTACACCAACACTCTTAAAAATAGGTGTGTTGCAAAACACACAAAAATGTGTTATATAGCACGTTAAGTGTGTTATACAACACATTTTACTCTTGCGATTTCGACATAACACACCTTTGTGAGTTAAATAACACACACATGTGCGTTATATAACACACAGTGTACAGTACTTAACACACAGCGATGGAGGTGAATGTGTTAGATAACACACTTTCAGAAAAACACACCTTTTCTACCGTGTTAGTTAGCACACCCTTCCTATGAAACGTGTGTTAATTAACTCAAGTTTAAAGATAAACACACTTTAATATAGACTTGCCACAAGTCGACCATGCGGGAGGGAGGGCGCGGGGGAGGGAGCGCACGACCCCAGCGACGAAGTCGCGAGTGGTCGACTTGTGTCGCTTGCAGGAATTTAAATCGCATTAAAAAATTTGGCGCGAATAATTTTGACAAATTAAAAGGTGTGTACATTTCATACAATTACTTCATCGCGCCGACAATGGGTCTACAAAAATAAAAACATTCTCTAGAGTAGAATTGATATTTCTTGGTCGTCGAATGAAACAGTTCGCACCAAGTGTGGAAACGAAATAACTGACCCAAGTTAAGTAAGCGCCGAAAGCTGTTCAATGTATCAACAAAAATAAGTGCATGTAAAAACTTATTGAAGCTTCACAGTTGTTTGTCTATTTAAACAATGTGTGCCGTAATTATGTCGACAAGAATAGTCTGACTCGACAGTTCGCCAGCGATTTTATTAACATAGCTAGTAGAAGTTAGTCTATAATTGAAAAGAATCAGACAACTGTAACCAAGAAGCAGAAAGGAGGCGAATGTGATCAACTAGAAGACGTTGTAATAATCAATAATCGAGATCAAGAAAGCCAAACTAAACCCGAAACTAGTGAGGAAATTTTAGAATCATCAGATGCATCTTCGGTGGCAGTATTAAAGTTTATTTCTACACCCTGTACTTTATATTACTCAATGTAATGTAAAGTGTATTTTTACATGGTTTTTGTGTCCTATAATATTGTAATTACATTGTTTACTCTGTTTGCTTCAATAATACACATTTGTTCAACAAAGAACCTGAGA